CGGCCGCAGGTCCAGGTGCCGCTCCGTCCAGGTGAGCCCCGGGCCCGGCGGCCCCACCGCGGCCCCTTACTTGGCGTAGTAAACCCAGCCGTCCTTGGTGGTTCTCTCCTCCCAGCCCGGGGGCAGCTCGTCCTCGCTGTCCGTGTCGTCCAGGCCAGCGTAGCGCAGCGCGGCCATGACGGAGACAAGGAAGCACTGACCGGTGCCCTGAGGCGCCGCCGGGTCTCCGCGCCCGGGAACTCGTACTCCCGCTCCAACCGAGCGCCGTGCGCGCCTGCGCAATGCGCAGCCCAGAGCCGCCCTGCCCACTCCGTAGTTCTAATCCAGTCTCCTGGCTTTCAGGACTTCCTGAACAAAAGGGGCGGGACCTAAAGAGTCCGGATGTGAAAGCACTGAAGACGGTGAAGCTGCCTTTCGGTTGGGAGGAAAACATGGAGAAGTCGCTGTGGCTGAGAAGTTGGAGCGGAGTTTCGTCACACTGAGGGCCTCAGGGAAGGGGCGTGCGCATCCAGTCAGGATCCAGGACTCCGCCTGTTGCTGGGCGACCTTTCATCACTTCCGCGTTGCTCTGTCCAATCCTACAGGAGACCCAGCAACAGGGCATCATGGGAAATGTAGTCCAACCGCCTACTGGAATAGAAAATAGAGCAGAAAGGATGAATTGTGGTAGAAGGTGTCCAGACTCTAGCCACTCCTTGTCTTAGGGCCTTATGGGAGTAAATGTCCCTGATTAAAATTTGTTTCCAGGTATTACCAACACTCAAGTTGGTTCACAAACTTAGTTATGCATGTAAGCACAACCACCACCTGAGAGCTATCTGTAGGCTTATCACCACATCTCTATGATGGAGACACAAGCTTAGCTAACTGCAATTAGCAGGGCACAATTAGAAGAAAACGGAGCCACTGGGGAATCCCACTACTTCATTACATATGTATGTCTTTACTCCTAAGTAATCAGACAAGGCTACCCTTTTATTTCAGTCACTAACAGCAAAATTCATAGGGCCGAAAACTTACAATGAATTACACACAAAAAAAATCGTATTAGTAAAAAAAAAAACATTAGTATCTACTTATCCCCTTCAAGGTGGCTTTGCCTAAGTAGTTTTCCATAATATGTTCTGCTTATTTCTTGTTTCCCATCTCATATACAGGGAAAGCTACTGGCCTGTGTCTCAGAGAATTCAAGCCTCCATCAAGAAATTATATACTTTACCCTGTGCCAGTAATCCCAGATACTCTGGAGACCGAGATCTGGGAAATTGTGATTTGAATCTAGCCAGGGCAAAAAAAAAAAAAAAAAGTCCAAAAGATTCCATCTCTAAAATAACTAGGCAAAAGCTAGGCTGTAAGCATGGCTCAACTGAAAGTGTGCCAAGGCTAGAAAGCAAGATTAGTCAGGACGAAGCCCTAAGTTCAAATCTGGGTATATATGCACAGATTGATACATATATGCATGAATATATAGAGAGCCAACATATCTATAATAAGAACATATTTATATGTATATATACATAAATGATGAACAGTGGCAATGGTGCTTTTTGTTTTCAAATCCTGCCTGCCTTACTGAACACAACCAACCAAAATCTACCTTAGTGAAAGGTCTGTTTAGCTTTAACAGCCCTGTTATCCCATTGCAAACCAATTGTAACGACCTTTTTCAAATTTGAGCAATTTATATTAACCTGCGGTTCCTTTATTCACTATAAATTAGACCCTGTAACCTCTACCTAAACCTATGTATTCCTTTGATGTGAATAGGAAATTAGGTCTCAGGGGGAATGAACAAGGTCAGAGTGAGAAGTGTCCGGTTCTCAAGGCGTGACTGCTTTGGTTGACTTCAGGTTGAGCTGGCCAGAGCCTCTTCTGCCACGGTTGCCTGTGACCTGGCATCAGACCAGAGACAGATCAAGTTCAGTATCCTGCAAAATGGGCAGTTACCCACTGTAACACTGTAGTGGGCCCCAGTGAGTATCATGATGCCATCTTGTTCACCCTCTTCCTGCATCTTAGTTGTTGGACTCTATCAGATAATTAAGAAGATGTGCGGGCATTTGAGAACTGTCAAGGGCTGGAATTCCAGATTTTAGGATTTAGAGTCTTTGGGCTTCCCTACAATACATTGCCGTAGTCAGGCTCATACACATACAAAGAGCAGAGACTATGCAACAATAAGAGTTTAAGCAGGTACAGTGGTACATGCCTGTAATCCCAACAATCAGGAGGCTGAGGCAGAAGGATTATGAGTTTGAGGCCAGCCTGGGCTACAGAGAATATAAGACTAGTCTGGGCTGCACACTGAGTCATTCCGATAATGTAAGAGCAAGTCTAAGAAGAAGCCTATTTTCCTGCATTTCCCCATCCCCTCTTACCCTGGGGGCTACATTTTCTATGCTCTCCTCCCTGGGAGCCTCCTGGCTTGCTTTTGGTTTCGACCGGGCGAATTGGTTTTGACTGTATTTAATAAGGACCTGTCAGCAGTGAAGCTGTATTTACTTGGCTAGGAAGATGGCAATGGTTTTGAGAAAATGTGGGAATAAGGCAAGCTTTTCAAAACGCAATCCTCAAGGAAGCCTCAAGAATGGTTTATTGTGTTGCTGGGCGTGGTGGTCCTTGCCTATAATCCCAGCTCCTTAGGAAGCAGGAGAATCACAAGTTTGAATTAGTGAAATGAGACTTGTCCCAAAAAACAAAATACAGACAAAAGAGCAGGGGTTGGGGGTATGGGGAGAGTATAGCACATATGGTAAAGCATTTACCTAGCAAATGCGCTGTGAGTTTAATTCCTAGTACTGAAAACAACAACAACAACACAACAGGGTTGTTACTAAGATCTAAATAACTAAGTAAATACTAAACAAGTGTAGTTATACAGATGCACAGCAGGGGGCTCTATCTGCCTGTTCTTTCCAAGGCTAAAGCCCAGTTTCTAAAAGATACTTCCGGCATTGGAACCTGCTTTTCTTTTTGATTCCTTCTCCAGTAACTGGAAATCTGTGACCATAAGACTGAGTCTTTTCTCTGACTGCAATTTGGCATCACTCAAAAGGTATGTATGCAGTGGGCAAAATGTGTCTCTTCTTATTCCTAGGGCTGCACAATGCCTTATCTTATATTTATCATGAAGGTGATTGATTCCTTCCCCTTCCCCTTCATAGTGGGGGAAAAAAACAACAACTCAACAGTTCCGCAAAGCTGATCTAATTGAAATCAACACTCCTTGCTAAATCAAGCCAGATGTGTTGGTGCTCAAAGGCTTTGAGGTTTATAATACCAAGATGTGGTGCCTTTCACCTGAACGAACCCTCAGTATCACAGAGGGGCTGCTTGATAAAGAAGTTCCTTGAGGCATTCGTGATGTCTGAGGGCTGTTATGGCTTGCGGGTCTGGCTCCTCCAAGAGTCATATCGAAAGGTAATGATATTATTGGGGACTGAGACTATTAAGAGGTAGTTAGCCTGTCAAGGCTCAAGAGTGGATTACAGCCTTCATAAAAAGGACAAGTTCAGCCCCTTCCTTCCTTTGCTCCGATTTACCTTCCACCATGAGACTGTGTAGAAAGACCACACCCAATGCTGACCCTCTCCAGATGCTGGCCTCTCCATCTTGGACTTCCCAGTCTCCAGAGCTGTGAGCTGTTTGCATTTCTGTTCTTGGTAAATAACGCGGTCTGTGGTTCCCAAGCACAAAATGGACACAGATAGAGGCGCAGGTGCCAGGCATGAGTAGATGCAGCACACTGCACTAGTTCCTGAAGGCCAACCCTGGCTGGTTAAGAATGCAAATAAATGAAGGCAGTGTTCTTTGTTCTGGTGTGAGTAACTCTGTGATGGAAGCCATACAAATATTGTGTATGTTGCTGGGTGGAAAGATCCAAAACTCATCAGTCACAGTGAACATCAAGTTTGGAATCTGGGGTAAGAGCATCAACCTTGTGCCTCACCCTGAAAAGTGTTTGCTAGAATGCCTTGCCTCCTCATCCAGCCAACACTTACCTGTTTGCTGTTAGGAATTGTTAAATATTTCTGACCTAGGCACCGGTGGCTCGGGTCTGTAATCCTAACTACTCAGGAGGTTGAAATCTGAGGATCTTAGTTCAAAGCCAGCCCATGCAAGAAAGTCTGTGAAACTCTTATCTCCAATTGACCACCAAAAAGCCAGCAGAGGTGGTATGACTCAGGTGGCAGAGTGCCACCTGGAGAGGAAAAAATCCAAGTGAGAGTGCAAGGCCCTGAGTTCAAGTCCCAATTCTGGTACACACACACACACACACACAAGATCCAGGCCAGGATCAGATTGTGATCCTGGTATGAATTACTTCCACATAGCTGGGATTATATGTGTGAGCTGCTTATTAACTAAAATGAGATCTCACTGACTGTTGCCCTAGCTGACCTCAAACCTTAGCCTTTCCCCCAATTTCTGCCTCCGTCAGATCTGGGATTATATTGCAAGCTCTTTACCAGCATATTAAGTCTATCTAGTCCTCCACCCCAGATCATAACTCCTCATTGCCGGGTGAAAATGTTTTTCCAATATATTATACGACCAGTTTGATCAAATCCATGGATTTACACACACACACACACACACACACACACACACAAATTGTCAAGTTTGATACAATCCAACACACCCTGAATAACCATAATCAACATCCAAACATATCTACCCTGAGCTGGATTCAGGCTTTTTTTAAATTATGCAATGAAAAAGAACTAAAACTTAATTCCAAGCATATGTAGTTAACATTTTCAAAACAGGCCATTATTCCCAAAACACATTCAACACAGAAAGAAATAAAAAGATATTTATTGGAAGGACAAAATATATTTAGAATTGTTTTTGCTTCTAAAATGCCCATTTTCCCTCAAGCCCAAATGGTATAATTCCATTTTAAGCCAATGAAGTTATTTTATACACTCTAGTTAAGCACTTTAATGGGAATAGCATTGGCAGCATAAAAACTTGCATAGTGTGATCCTAAAATAGTATTATTTATATCCAACTGGCTCTTCCAGTAATACTATTAGAGTCAAATATAGTGATGGTTCAAAAAAAGTATATAAAGTTTTTCAACCCCCTCCTCCAACAGCTTAATATATATATATATAAAGACTGTAAGGATAAACGAGAAGGAAAAGAAGACTGTTTCCTTTCCCCCACCCCCACCGTCATCGTCTACTCTTCTTTTCTGGTTTCTCATTTAAGTTGGAAGTCATAACTTAATGCCAAGAGTAGACTACTGACAAGTGTACAGCTTCATTAGTTTTAGTTTCTGTTTTTGTGGGGTTTGGGGGAGTTTTTCTTGTTGTTGTTGTTTTATTTGACTGAGAAATTCCCGAAAAGCTGGAGTAAGGAGTTTAAAGAAAACCAGATCAGACCTCCTCTTCAAACGTTCTTCTGATGACTGGCGAGATACTTGTCTCACAGGGAGAAACAAGGGCTCTGGGCACATGATGTGTGTCCAGGATGGAGTAGCCCAAGCATCAGACCAAATTAGGGAATTCTGATCCTTCATACATATAGCCGGGCACCGCATTGCTACGCTTCAGCCAGTAATGGCCCACACAGGTGATGGTGGTCCCATCAATAATAATGCAGCTGAAAGGCTTCTGTCGACCTTGTAGCTGTCCTACCCTTGCAAGCCATCACTCACGTGGATGTTGGTGACACTTAACTAAGCAAACCTGTTATTCTGTCAGGCTTACAAGTGGCTGATGAAGAAGTAGGTACAGTACATAAGACTTGATCATGATAACAAACCATTATGTTGCCCATTTAGGTGTTTATTATATGCTAGGGTTTCAGGAGGTTTAATTGTTTACACATGTCCTGATCAGGGTAATGGTGGCACGTCAGGCAGAAGCAAGTGATTACATCTCAAACTAGAGTGGATATACAGTACAGAGAGAGGATAAGCAAGGTCCCACAATCCCTTTCAAGGGCATACCCTCAGCAATCTAAGTACCACCTACAGGGTCCTGCCAGGTTGTCCAGTCTTAATGTTGAGCCACCGAAATTATGAGCTAAAGAAACTTTCTTTGGTGTCATAGGGATTCTGTATCAAGCATTTCCTTATATGGATAGGAAGCTGACCATATACTATACTTTTTATTGCTTTATAAAAAAATTGTACTTATTGTGTGCTCACATTTCTATAAAGAAGCTCACGCTAAAAACCTTCCAGGTTACACCAACAGAAGGCTTTAATACATCTTGTGTTTACAGCACCTCTTATTTACTTATTTATTTATTTTGTCGGGGCTTGAACTCTGGGCTTGGGCGCAGCTCAAGGCAAGCGCTCTACCAGCACCTCTTATTTTGCATGTAGAAACCACATTAAGGGTTTGATCTATGCCAATGCTATGATGTTGATGCAGTAACAAGATGGCCAGATGACACATTTCTTAGACTATATCCCTGTGATTGAGCCATCCATGACTGGACTAAATTCCTAAGATAACCTAAGCTTGCTTTGTCACATTGAAGAAATGCATGAGCATTGTATTTCTAAAACAGACTGTGCCTACATGAGTGACAGGGACAAGGAAAGAGGGAGGAGGATTTGAGACCTCCTTTTGCAAAAGTCTCTTTAGTAGTACGCTTATTATTTCCTGATGTCTTGAGCTTTGTGAAAGGCAAAACCACCATGAAATATGATAGCCCCATTGTCTGATTGTGTCTTACCGTGGGCTTTGACCAACATGTTGCCATCGTGCAATAATTACAACTTTGATTCATTCCTGGGGACCGCCAGCTCATAAATTATGCCCACTCTTGCTTGAGTGAGACACATTTGTGAAGAGCCTGTTAAGGGATGGTAAACTCACATATGTACTTCTTGCTGGTACGGCAGATCTCATCACTCCATTTTCCCTGAGCCGATTGGGAGAACAGGACACAATTTTCACGCTTGCCACCATTGGGCTGTGCACGGTCCCAGTTGAGGAAGGAGACAGCCATTCCATTGACATCGAGAAACTTGCCTTCTGTGGCCATGTCATTGATGCCCACCCAAAAGTCATTGACCCCAGGCAGGCTTCTCTTAGCATAGTCTCGGAGGGCATTGATCTCGTCAGAGTTCCTGGGGACCACCAAGGTCCCCCCTTTGGAAATGCAGTCTTCATTGGCCTCGTGGAAGTGTTTCAGGCCTTCTGAAGCCAGGTAGCATTTCCTGTGAACTTTCGTGCCTCGGAGACAGACTGTGGAAATGGGAGATTTAATAGAGTAAAATTTTTTGCTGGGCACTGGTGGCTCATGCCGGTAAATCCTAGCTACTGAGGAGACTAAGACCTGAGGATCAAAGTTCAAAGCCAGCCTATGTGGAAAAGTTGGTGAGAATCTTATCTCCAATTAACCACGAAAAAACTGTAAGTAGAAGTGAGGCTCAAGTGGTAGCCTTGAGTGCAAAAGCTAAAGGAGAGCTTGAGGCCTTGAGTTCAAATCCCAGCACACACACACACACACACACACACACACACACACACACACACACAGAGGAAGAAGAAGAAAGAAAGTTTTGTCTTTTGTGTGCAATATGCCTGATCCTGGATCTGGCAAATGCTGATGAATAATTATAGAATAATGTGTGATTATAATGATTTTTAGTAATGATCTTACATGTGTCAGATACTGTAGCAAACAATTTACATAAGTTAACTTATAATAACCCTGATGATCCTATGAAGTGCTGTCTTATTATCCTTATTTATTGGGATATTGAGGTATAGAGAAGTTGCTACTTGTAATTTTAGCCTGACAAAACCATAATTTGTAGAGCATGGAAAAATTATACACAAACCTGGTTCTGTCTCAACCTCAAAATAGTATCTCAAGACTCATAATGCTTTCTTTATTATTATTATTATTATTATTTTGGTGCTAGTTGAAGGGTGTAAACTCAGGGCTTTAGCTTTTCTGTTCAAAGCTGGTATTCTACCACTTGTGTCACAGTCCCACTTCTAATTTTTTGGTGGTTCTTTGGAGATAAGATTCTCATGGACTCAGGCTGGCTTTGAACCTGGATCTTCAGATTGCAGCCTCCTGAATAGCTAGGATTACAGGCGTGGGATGCCAGTGCCTGTATCCATATTTATATAGTTCCATTGTATGTTGGATGTTCTTGCAACTTGAGGAATTGGATGGGATTTCATTATCAAGAGAAAAGAAGTGAAACAGGAACAAAAATCTGAGTTTGCATGTGGGGAGACAGTGGCTTTCTTGAGCCGAGAACAAAGACCTGTAATATTGTTTAGGTTGTCCAGTATAAAGAAAGGGAGTACAGATGGTTTTAGGTTAGGGGCCAGGACCTTAGTGTCTGGGTTTAGGTTTCTACCATGACATTTACTAGCTGTGTACACCTTAGACAGATTCTTTCTCTGTCCTTCATTTTCCTCATGTATAAAATGAGGGAAATCATAATAGCATAAAATGTTGAAGTGAATTGGAATTGACTATTCAACAAAAGGTGATGGAGAACTAATATAGCACTTAGAGTAGCAAAACATGGTCAAAGGCCTGTTAACCTTCAAACTCTGTATACCCAAAGATCTGATAAAAGGAAAGAATATCACCCTGGTTCCTAGCAGAGTTGCTTATAGCAAAAATGCTTCCTGGCCTCCTGGGAGTTATGAATTCTTTGTGTGTGTGTGTGTGTGTGTGTGTGTGCGTGCGTGTGTGTGTGTGTGTGTGTGTGCATGCACGTGTGTGTTCATTAGTATTGGGGAGTGAAATCAGGACCTAGGCATTGTTCCTTAGATTTTTCACTTGAGGCACAGCTCCACATTTGTCATTTTTAGTGGTTAATTGGAGATAAGTCTCATGGACTTTTCTGCCCTAGCTGGCTGCTATCCTCAGACCTCACCTCCTGAGTAGCTAGATTACAGGCATGAGTCTCCAGTGCCAAGTGAATCTATTCCTATTTCTGTACCACTGATACTTGAAAGGAGGTAGCAAATCAAGCTCATTGTTCAAGACCATTATCACTAACTTTCCATCCCTGCACTCAGCTGCATCTCTAGTTTGTTGATGTTTCTTTCTAAAAGATGGCTTCCATATGCAGTCTCAATGAAATGGAGTTGTTGGCAGCCCTGGTTCTCTTCCAGCATCAGCTGGGGAAGAGTGGGGGGCTGGAGGGGTGTCTCACCTGTCTGGAGAGCTTGCATTTCCTTCAGGGCATTGACTTCTCGCCAGAGTTTTTCAACTTGAGACTTCAGATCTCCATCCTTTTCTGGGGACACATTTTAGGGGGGGAGTGGTTAGAGAACGGAAAGCATATGAGTAAAAGAAAGGCAATTAAAGTTGAGAAAATAGCTTTGGGAAACACAATCTGAAGGTCGTGGAGGCAATGATGTCATCGAGCTGAGTGTACATGAAAAGTACTGTGTGAGACCAGGGTCATTGGGTTCAAGGAGGAGAATGGCTGTCTAGTAAGCTTAAGGCCTTGAGTTCAGAACACTCCAGCACCCCAAAAGGCAAAAGGAAAAAGAAAAGCAAAGAACACAGGCAGGAAAGGAAAGCATAATTCATTACCACGAGGTGGGGACAGTAAAACAGGGAGATTCCAGCAGGTAGAGCTCCTGCCTCTCCCTCTCCAGCCCCACCCCTGTGAGTTCCACCTGGCCACCACCCAGCCTCAGCCTCCTGGATTCGAGAGCCTCTTCCATTCATTATTCCTTCTGCCTGTTCGCTCTCACTACCGTGGCCTCTTCTGAGAAGACTTTCCTGATTATCCTTTCCTCCCCCATTCCTTCTGCTAATCACACTCTGTGAGCCTTATTTGCTTCAAAGCACTTTCTCTACTAGTAGCTTAATTTTCAGTATTTTCTTACCCATGCCATTTCCTGACAACGCTGAGCATTAGGGGATAGAAAATACTTTAATGTTATTGTAATGTGCTCTCCAAAAGTAGAGGTGAAAGGAAGTGGGGTGAGATTTCCCTTGCATGAAGGTGGCCACACTGAGCAAAATGGCATGACTGGGAAGTCGAGCCCGAATCCTGCTCGAGGCCCCTACACTACTGATGCATCGGGGTGGCAGCTCCTGGAGGAGCCAGCTGACAAAGGCCACGTAAGGATTCACTCCTGATGGGGAGGAGCCAGTTCTTTTTTCTTGAGTGTTCCTAGATGGGGCTGAAGAATCATCAGGGCTCTCCCTGATTAAGGAAGTGGTCAAAAGTGAGTAGCTTTGTAGACACACCTGTGGCTCACACCTGTAATCCTAGTTACTCAAGAGGCTGAGACCTGAGGATACTAGTTCAAAAACTAGCCTGGGCAAGAAAATCCATGAAACTCCTTATCTCCAATTAACTACCAAAAAGCTGGAGGTGAAGGTATAGCTCAAGTGGTAGAGTGCCATCACTTGAATGAAAAAGCCAGGTGAGAATGAGGGACACACACACACACACACACACACACACACACACACACACACATACACACACCAACGCTCATGATATGATGATGTTTAGTTATCATTCCCAGAGGATGGGGTATAGAGGGGAGCTGTCATTTGGAGAGACAATTGGAGTCTGACTAACCTGCAGTGTGAGTTCTAGAGATATAATACCCTAGTCTGGGGATTAATATACTGTATGTGCATGATGAAGTTCACCAGGAGAGAGCAGAATGTCATGACCCATCCAAAGGAAGGAGTAACATCCAGCTGTTCAATGAAGTGGGCCTTACTAAACCCAAGATTTAATAGGTGAAATAAATTACATTATTAATTTAACTATTATGTATTGTTTTATCATGTGTTGATCACTAATTTATAATAGTTGTCTTTATTGTTAGTAATTTATTGTGATAATGTTATAATTGTATTATTTATAATTGTTTGTTAATAAATAAATTTGCCTGCCTGCCAAACTATTTGCATAACATCTTCAATACTGTCACCCAATAGTTAAGAGAGTACATAATATTGAGATACAGATTGGAAGAGAAAATACAGTTCACCTGTCTGACTTCATAAACTTTGGTATTATTACAAAGTAGTTCAAATATTTTAAGACTATATGGGTGGGCGGGAAAATAACTAGTAGGCAAATCTAGGCTTATTATTCCACATCTTGTGAAGTTGACTTTCTTGACCCTAATGACAAAAAGTTGTTTGGGCTGTGGGATGGAGGGGGGGGGTTGGGAGAAGTTGGGAGAGAGAGAGAAGAAAGAGAGAACACATTTATATATTTATATCCTCTCCCTAAAGTGCCATACCACCTACTATCTTCTGTCTCCCTCCTGCCCCTGTCCTCAGCATCGTCTACTAATGAGAAATTATTTGAGTTCTTCATTCAAAGAGGAAATGGGGAGATAGGATGTTTCATAAGAAAAAAAGACTCAGCTTAAAAAGCTGTGCCTGAGACCTAAACATTCAAATAAAATCCCTGGCAGAAGGCTCTTTAGAATCCTCCAAACACAACATAGGACAGGGTAGAAGCTCGCCTGGTATGCGTCAGCTGTGTCCTATCAAATCTTCACTTTGGCTTCTTGGTATTTTCCTGTGCTTCTTTCTAATAAGAAGATAAAGCAATAGTGCCATATCATTTACCTTCAAACACCCTAGTAGAAAACTGACTCCAAGGCTGAGATAAAACACCTTCCACTAGATGGGTGTTTCGTTTTGTTGTTTCTTTCTTTTGCTTTGGTTCTGACATATTGCAAATCACTTAGTGGTACCTTCCTCTTTGCAACTTTTGATTTTTACTTCTTAACTCTTTCCAAGTCCACCTCAACCTATGTCTTGCTTGAAGAGTCAATTTGGGATCAAAATAACTTCAAAGACTATAGAACTTAGCATGCCGATGTATTACTGTGAAGTGAGAGGCTTCATTCTTTTGTTTTGGTGGTGAGACAGGTTTGAAATCAGGACCTTGAACTTGTGAGGCGAACATTCTACCCCTGAGCCCTCTAGCCCGGTGCAGGGCAAATCCTTTATGATATATTTAAGTTGGTGTCGTAGAAACATACCTACAGTATATCCATGTCTACCAATAGCTCTATCCTCTACACATATACTAAGATGATCGGCTACAATTCCTCAATAATACGAGTGAATCTGTACTCTGCTAATCTATATATTCTGCCCGCCCCATGGTTTGCAGTCCCAAGGACTACTACACACATCTAACCTCACCTGACAAAGAAGACAGGTGTTATAGACATGTTTTACATGACAAGCTTGTTTGTCCATTTTTTTAAATTAGAAAACCTTCTGGCAGGGCTGGGGAGGTAGTATAGTGGCAGAGTGCTCAAGGTCCTGGTTTTTCACTTCTAGAAAACCCCAAAGCCTAGGATTCTTTGAAACCACCAAACGTTTCCCGGGAATGGAAAGATTCTAGGGAAAAAGAAAAAAAGCATGATTCCTTTAAACATCAGGGGATATAAAGCTCACTCAATCCCCTGAAAAGCCAGCCAGCCACGGCCACGGTCCCCAGGGGTGGCGTTCTGGAGGAGACTACACACACACGCTGTCCCCCTCTTCTTGGCCACACAGGAGTCTATGGAGTTTTGCTACAGAACCCCTTGTTACCTTTCACGCGGCGTTTGCTGTGCTTTCTGGACTTCAGTCTGGATGAGTGGCTGCTGGCCTGGTCCAGGAGCAAGCTGATCACCAGGAGGCAGACTACAAGTCCGCTCTTTGCCATGGCTGGGGCCCTGGGAAGCCTGCAGGGAGCAAGGCGCGGACGGGGCCTGCCACATCTTGCCTTGGAGGTGGCCGTGGCCAGCTTTATAGGAGTGAGTGGAGAAGCTGGCGGGGATCCTGCTGACGGAGTGCTGGAATGAGACTGCTGGCCCTGCCCTAAGATGCTTCCTTGTTCTCCTGCCCCACCCCCCCTCGCCCCCCAGCCTGGGCTTTGGATTTGCTTATTTTCATTCGATGGCATTTTTTTTTCTAGTCCATTTTTCTAGTTGACTTTGATGTCTCAGAGTTCACTCGGGGTTTTGCCTGCTCTTTTCAAAAATTCTGTATCTCCTTCTCCCCAACCCCCAAGTTAAACATTCGGGAGGCTCTGGGAACACTCAGTGTTTACATGTCTCTAGGTTGCACCTCTCTAAAGTGTATCAAATATGCTGGAAAATAGATCTAATTCTGTTTTGAAAGTAAAAACCGTTTGCAATGGTCAGAAGTGTGTGTGTGTGTGTGTGTGAGAGAGAGAGAGAGAGAGAGAGAGAGAGATGCTGCCGACCGATGAACTTCACAGCAGTGTATCTGCAACACTGTGTCTGCACTCTGTCTCAAGTGGGGCTGAGGAAGGTCTGCGACACCACTGGGTTTATCAGATGCTAAGGTGACTGGTGACTAGTCTCACAGGGGCCTTCCTCAAATAGGGTTTAGGAAGTGTGTCCCAAATTATCTTCCTGAAAGACACCTTGGCGCGAAAAGAATATGAAAAGGTGAATTACTTCCATAAAAAGTCATGTCATGTATCTACAATCATCTTCCCTCCCTCCCTTCCTTTCCTTCCTTCCTCTTTCCCTCCCTCCTTCCCCTCTTCTTTCCTCTTTCTCTCTCCCTCCCTCTCCTCTCCTCGTCCTCTGTCTCCCTTTCTTTTTCCTTTTTATTTTATCCTTCCCTTCCCTTCTTCCTTCCTTCCTTCCTTCTTCTCTTCCTCTCTCTCTCCTCCTCCTCTTCTTTCTTCCTCGTTCTCCTTCCTCTCTTCTTTTTCTTCTTCCTCTGTCTCCCTTCCTCTCCCTCTCTCCCCTCTTTCTTCCTTCCTTCCTCCCTTCTTCCCTCCCTCCCTTCCTTCCTCTTTCTGCTTTCTTTCTTTCTCTTTCTTTCTTTCTCCCTTCCTTCCTTTCTCTTTCTTCCTTAATTATCTTTCTTCATTTCTATGCTCTCTGTCTCTCTCTCCATTCCTTCCTTTCTTCTCTCTTCTCTTTCTCCCTCCTCCCTTCACTTCCCTCCCTCCCTCCTTCCTCTCCTCTTCCTTATCTCTCTCATCCCTCTATCTTCCTCTTCCTCTTTCTCCTCCTCCTTCTCCCCCCCCCCTCTAACTTTTTGTACCAACACAGATCCAACATGTAGGCATCTGAAAATGTTAAGTCAGGTTGAGTATTCCAGGCTCCCATCTCAGGCTGATCAGCAGAGTGGCCCTGGGTAGTTCACCTTGTGAGTTACCTCTTAGCCATGAGTCTGGGAGACTTTACAACAGACTGACCAGATAATGGCTATCAAGTCTTCAACACAATGGGTGGTTTTTTAATTCCATAACAGTAAGATTCACAGCATTAATTATAATATATACAATTTATGGGTTGCCATTTTATTATTCACATTAAATTTATGAGATAGGAATTTCCTCTATTTTATGAGCAATGGAAAATGAGCATAGCAAATTTAAGTGGGGGAAGGCGCATGGCTCATGACTATAATCCCAGCTACTTGAGAGGACTGAGTTTTGAGGTTTGATGCCACTTTGGGAAAAAACTTCGTGACACCTCATCTCAATTATCTGGGTATGGTGGTACATTCCTGTGAAGTCAGCAACTTTGGAGGCTGAAGCAGGAGGATAGAGGGTTTGAGGCCAACTCCATCTACATAGTGAGAACTTGTTGGAGACAAACAGAAAAGACAAACTGTTTTAACAAAACAGTTAAATGGCTTTGTCCAACACCACTAAGATCTCAATCTATAGCTATGATTGACTTCAAGAGACCTCAGCTATGAAAATGTGCTTTGGTTTGAGCAGGGGAAAAGATCAATGTGTAAAATACTCATGTTATTGTTGATCCAGAATGCTTGGTGCCAGCTTCCTGACGCTCTTAGTTAAAAAAAAAAGTATGTCAGAAAGACAAGGTTTTTGTTTGTTTGTTTATTTTTTAAAATCTTTGAATTGTGCTATGTTCACCATAGGACCAAGTATCTTTTAAAAGTATCTTTAAGATTTTTTGTTTGTTTGAAGACTCTTGCTGTCCCCTTCCAGGAAGGCCTTGGACACCTTTTTGATTTGTCTTTGTGCTTCATCCTCAGCCCCATGCGTGTGTGGGGGTGGGGGAGGGTGTGAGGGTGTGAGTAGTGGGACTTGAACTCAGCACTCGGTTGCTAGCCCTTAGCTCTCCCACTCAAAACCCTCTAAATCATTTGTTGGTACTTACTTAAAATGACACTCAGACTTCCCATTGGAGCTTATGAAGCCCTCCTACCTGCTGAGATTACTTGGGGGAGGGGACGGTAACTGGGGTTTGAACACAGGACCACTTGCTTAGTAAGTAGGTGCTCTACCACTTGAGCCACACTGCACCCCATTTTGCCCCCTTCTTTTTCAACTAAGATTTCACTTACTGCCTTGGATGGACAGGACTGCCATCCCCCTATTTAAACTTACCCCAGAGCCGGAATGGTGAGTGTATATCGTTGTTCAACTATTTGGCAGTAACTGGGGTTTGGACTTAGGGCATATCCTTCCTAGGTTGGCACTTCACTACTTGAGACATGCTTGCAGTCTTGCTTTTTGCTGGCTATTTTGGAGATAGAGTTTCTCAGACATTTTTATTTTTTTACCCAGGCTGACCTCAAATCACTAACCTCCAGTTTTCAGCCTCCTAAGTAACTGAGTCTCTATACCTGGAATGTCTGCTATGATTTCACCTGGTTCTTCCTGGTGGCTTTTTCCCTTTCTCAGACTTAACTTTCTCTGCCCCATAATCTCATAAGGTCCTTTCTACTGGTGTCCCTGTGACCCAGCTCTCCTTGATTGCAGTTTTCTGTTCACTTAACAGGTTTACGACTTACTTGCTGGAAGTTGGTCTGTAAGTTCCCAGAGGAAGGGGCAGAGTTGTGTTGGATAAGCTTGAGTTATGCATGAACACAGTACTGGGGCACATAGCATTGCTGGGTAAATATTTATGTGTGTGTGGCAGGACAGCGAGGGGTTTGTTTCCATCCAATCCTACCTCATCTCTGAGACTCCAGCCAAGGAACACAGCCTTGAAACTCATGGCATACCAAGCAGATCTAGGCATCCTAGTACTGATACTTGGAATCTGGCTAAAATCCTCTCCCCTTGGAGAAGATCTGATCCACTAACCCAGAGACCAGACTGGGGAACTTTCTCAAAGCTATTTCCCTCCTGCAGGGATGCTAAGTCTAATCCATCTGATGGGAGGGGCTAGGATGAGAGGGCCTGATGGGGTGTTTAGGGGTCGGGTTGGATCTGAATGTATTCACAAGCTAAGGATTTGCGTCCTGCCACAAATACAGACATCATACATATTGTTTATGGAGTCCCTTTCCTCTAAAACCTCAATAAGTAAAGCCCCAAGGATCTGAAAATGATCATGTCTAGAGTTTTACACACACACACACACACATATCAAAGATAACGGAGGGCCCCTTCTACACCTCATGCTGGGAGGAAGGCAGGTGTCTGTTTTCTTGAAGAAAACAAAGAACAATTCCTTTTTATTTTATTTTTTTGTGCTTGTCTCCCGGGCTGGACTGAGGCTTTTGAAAGGACTCTTTAAGAAGAAACACACATTTACAAGCAGTGAGAGGAACTATTAAAAAGAAAATATTGCGTTTAAACAAAAAGCATTTTGATGAGAGTTTTAAACCTGTCACTAAGGTTTTATTTTCTTGAATAAACCATCATTTGCCACCCACCCCTTAACCACCCTGTGTAATTGATGTGTTTATTCCACTGGTTGCTATTTTAAAGTTGCTCTAAGCTGTTTTCCAGAGTCTCGAATTCTAACCAGCAAATCCATCCGGCCCCATGGCTATTTGTCTATTAATACTCAAGGTTGAACACGTTTGAAGGGCTGTGTTCAGAGGTTCAAGGGCAGCATTTAGGAGAGGTCAGAGCACTGGATTTGGAGGTTTTTTCCCTTTAAATATTGTTATGATAAGGATGATATAGAGGGGTTACAGTTACATAAATCAGGTAAAGAATACACTTCTTTTTGGACGATATTACTCCATTCCCTCACTCTCTCCCACGTTTTCTCTCCCCTCCCCACCCACAAGTTGTACAGTTCATTTTCGACATAGTGTCCAGTGAGTACCACTGCTGCATTTGTCTACCCTTTTCCCCCGCTACCATTTCTGTGCCTCTCCTTACCATCCCAAAGATAGATAAATGGACAAACAAGACAAAAAGAAAAGAAAAGAGAAACAGGAAAAAAAAAAAGAAGGAAAGTCCTCTGATTCCATTTCCGGGAGTTCTTTTCGATCAATCTTATTTTGTCTGAGCACTGTGCCTTCCCTAAGAGCGTGCTCCTTAGGTCTCACTGGGTGTGAAGGCCTAGAGACCTGTGTAATTTATTCTTGGACTTGTGCAAAGTTGCCTTGTTTCTCCAATGATTACTACGGGAGTTACAGTGGGGGATTTGAATCGAACATGAGCACCAGCTTTGAGACCCAGGGATAAGGAGGCTATTACGTTGGAGCAGCACTGAGTTGGACACTGAGTAAGAACTCTGGCAGCTGGGGATGAACATTTCAGATGCCCCTTGCTCAGTGTGTGGCAGGAGTAAGGCTTGAACACTTCGCCCTCACCCATCTTGCAGAACAATGGAGAAACTAGAACATGTGTGTAAACAGGGCATAGAAGCTACTCCGTGGAAGGACTTCCCTTGGCTTACTGTCTTGTGTGAGACATCACATCTAGGTAAGCATCTCAAACTCATCCCTGCCCTAAACCTAACTTCACAGCATTAGTCCCATGTA